AGAGAGAGAGAGAGAGAGAGAGAGAGAGAGAGAGAGAGAGAGAGAGAGAGAGAGAGAGAGAGAGAGAGAGAGAGAGAGAGAGGTGGGGGAAAAAACAGTTTGATTCGAATACAACAATTTTGTCTTCGTGAAATTCAAATATAACACGTGTGGGTTATCGCATATGCGTTATATTCGAATAAAACACACATGCGTTATATTCGAAGTGCCCTTGTATTCGAAGAAAAGGGTCTAACTTTCCAAAAACCGTTTTTTTTGGAAAACTCGAATACAACGTTCGGGGAAAGACGGTAGTCTTCCCACGAGTTCTCCGGTCGAAACACAGGCCTCTGAGAGAGGTCTCCCGAAAATGGCCTTAAACTCATACAGTGATTAGGCGGTTGAAAGTAACTTCTGTTTATCGAAGTGCATCAAAGTGCATCTTTGATTGCACAAGAAATATGCAACAAATTGGAACAAAAAACATCATTTCGTCAAATCTGTAGTTCTATTTTCCAACAAATTGAGAAATGCAATTATGTGAAAGGAATTTACAGGCGGGAGGCTCAAGCCCTCTCCGGAGCCACTTTCTGACAGCTTCCTAATTTAATCTGACAGGTTGAACTCGGGAGCTGGGGCAAGGTCCCACCTGCGCAAATTAGGAGATCTCGGCCGTTGATCTTTGCTATCTACGGTCTGTATTGCTTAATTCGTGCAAGTGGGACCTAGCCCCTGGTGTGGCTACGCTGCACTCCCTAAAATGGCCAATTCGAGAGGACTGTGGCGAGGCCCTCTCTGTCTTTGCACATTTCGAGAGTAGTGGAGCGAGGCCCAATAGCCCAAATCGGAGCGTTTTTCTGCGCAAGTGCATCTCGGAGAATCGCGTGTGCGAGTTTGCCAGCGCATATGCGAAGGCATCGACACGCGTTTATGACTGGTGCAAGTCATGACAGTGCCCCCCGTACATGGGCCTCGGTCCACTACTGTACGGGCCTCGCTGCGCTACACTACTCTTGAAATGCACAAATGCCAAAAATCATGGCTGTGTATCTTTCCATGTTCTAGCGGAAGATTCACTCTAGTTTTGCACATTTCAAGAGTGGTGCAGCGAGGCCCTAACTCTCGAAATGCTCAAAATGAGAGCGAATCTTCAGCTAGAACACAGAAAGGTACACCCCGCCGCGAGTCTTGTCTTTTGTGCATGCCGGCAGTAGCGGAGCGAGGCCCCATGACAAGGACATCCCGCCAGCGGGCCTAGCCCAGCTGGTACAGCCATAAACTGTTGACGTACAGATCCAAGTTCGAATCCAGATGCAATCAGATGACAGAATAAGATATTTCTGGATTACCTGTGGCCCGTTAGTTCAATGAGGATATATCGGGGGGAAAAAAGAAAAAAAAAAGAGGATTTTTTTTCTTTTTTTTTTTCCGGAAAGCTGTCTCGTATATTGCATAAAGACCAATTGAAAGAGGATATCTCAAGGCCATCATCGTTAAAACAAAAAGGGGGGAAAAAAAAAAAGGACATCCCGTCAAGCTAATTACGGCCGAATGATGATGCACATGTAACTTCGAGCCTCGCCACACCACTCTCGAAATGTGAAAAAGACAAAATTGTGGCAGGTGCATCTGGTCATATTGTACAGCAAAGTTCATGGTCATTTTGCACATTTCGAGAGTGGTGTGGCGATGCCCTTTTTGTAGCGCCCGAGCTCGAATTACATTGAGATTCCTCCCTCGCGAAGCACTCTCGAAATGTGCAAATGAGAATGAACTTTCTGCTAGAACATGGCCAGATGCACCGCCACATTTTGTCTTTTTCGCATTCCGAGCGTGGTCTCTAAAGAAGTCCTTCGAAATGCCTCAAATTTCATGTAATGTATTCCACCAATGACACCTCTTTGTACGAACAAAAGGGGTCCCCTATACAGGCTTAGGAGTACGGGGGCTAGGTCCCACTTGCACGAATTAAGAGATACTGACCGTAGATAGCAAAGATCAACGGCCCAAATCTCCTAATTTGCGCAAGTGGGACCTTGCCCCGGGTAGCCTGGGGTAGGTGGGTAGGACTGAGGACAGGTGAAATCGACAGAAGATGATTTTGTCAGAGGGGGCGTTCCGCTCCGCCCACATCCCGCAGGGGCATTTTGGCATATTTCTCAACTTCTGGGGGTGTTTTGCAAATTAGCCCCCGGAAAAAAAAGGAGGACACAAAAAAACAAGAGTTTCGAAAGACAAAGGGGTAAAAAGAAAAAATCCTCGTGTAAGGCATATACTCACACCAGGATTTTTTCCTACTCATCTTTGGACGTAAATGCGGTCCGATGCATGCAGCCTGCATGCGGTCCGATGCATGCAGACGAAGCCGCAGTGTCGGTCAGATGTATCCAGAACAGAAAAGTCCGAAAAAAAAGAAAAAAGAAAAAGAAAAAAAAAACAACAGAAAAGTCCTACATATGTAGTGTGAGGATGCTGCTCTGGAAGTACAGAGGCGAGGTCCCATTTGCTGCTCTGGAAGTACAGAGGCGAGGTCCCACTAGCAATAGCAAAGAGGATTGGACTGAGTACCTGAACCTGGACTTGTTTGAAGCGGGGATGCAGAAAAGCAGTTGGATCTCGAGTTTCTGCACCATTCCACAAACAAGTCCAAATTAAGGTGTTCAATCCAATCCTCTTTGCTAGTGGGACCTCGCCCCAGGAAACGTAGGAGAGAACCCCCGTCGCGTGTCTTTCGCCGGTTCTTTTCCTCGCGCCGCGGGGAATCTGGGTATGACGACGATCCTCTCCTTTTTTTTGTTTTTTTTTGTTTTTTCTTTTTCGGGAATGACGACGATATGCACATTCATTGTAGATCTGCACATATACATATATATACTGTAGATCTGCCCATACACCCATTCACTGTAGTAGTTCTATACCGTAGCCAGGACAGTCCCAGTCCCCCGCGAGGGAGAAGGCAGGTCTAAAGCCCTCGCTACAGGGCAGCTGAGCAGAGCTGACAGCTCGGCCGCGGTTGTCGGCCTAGCGTCGTAGGTGTTGGGCCTCAGCTCCTTTTTTTTTTTTTTTCCTTTTGCTGCTTTTATTTCGCGAAGGTCGTGAGTCAGGGTCCTGCAGGGGCCAAGTCCCACTAGCGAGCGTTGAGCTACCTCAACGCCTGAATGTGGACGCTTTGCGGAGATGTGCAGAAATGGTGTTGAGTTTCCTGAACTGCACGTCTTCACAAACACGTCCAGATTCAGGCGTTGAGGTAGCTCGACGCTGCTAGTGGGACTTGGCCCCAGGGTACGGAGTCGGAGATGAATCGGATATAGTGGGAGCTGACGACAACGCGCGGTAATAGCAACAGCCTCAGGCCGACGTTGGCGTCGTGCAGCGCCAGTTGTGATTGTGACTAGTATTTTTTTTTCTTTTTAATCGCCGACTTCTTGACTGTACGACTCCCGGGATTGTCGGTGGTTGTCAGGAGTGGTGGTGCTGAGTGCAGTGTGCAGTGCCCTCTCTCAGGGCATACTCACACGGTGACTTTTTTTACTTATTTTTGGATGTAATTGCGGCCAGATTCGCGCAGGTCTGGCCGTAAAAGTGGTCAGATGCATTGAAGGTAGTGCGAGTGTGAGCATGCCCTCAGTTCAACTGTTCAGAAGGTTCTGTTAGAAGTGCCGTACATGCGGTAAGACGCGGCCAAGGAAAGGAAGAGGAGGAAGACGGCAAGGGCAGGCTTGTAGCAACGGATTAGGAAACAGCGAGGTGTCCGTAGAGAAACGGGGAAAATCTCTCTCTCTCTTTCTTCCTCTCTCTCTCTCTCTCTCTCTCTCTCGCTCGCTCGCTCGCTGTGTGTGTGTGTGTGTGTGAGTGTGTACGGCGTTTTGTAGAGAAGAAGATAACATATAACGGACTAGGACAAGTGAGGTAGAACAGTGAGCAGTGGTGCGAGTGTGTAGAAAGGGCAGAGGGGCAGGATTGGAGAAGGGAATGAAGTAGAGGGGTGGAAGTGGGAGAGAGCCAGAGGAGGGCTACGTAGAAGTGGGAAGGAGGGGTGGGAGTAGTAGGCAGGGAGGTGAGCAGTACGCTGAGCGCGAAACAGACGCTGATCATGATCTGAACTCTCCTGAGTCCTGACAGCTGATGTCGAGGGTTCGGTCGACGTCGGTGGAGTGTGAATCTCACGCAGGAGGGGAGTGCAGGGGAACAGGAGCGAATAAGTTTGTTTGACGGAGAAGGGGGGTGGGAAGTAGTGGAGACGATTACCAGAGAAGGAGGGTTAGCAGAAGGGAAGAAGGAGGAGAAGACGCTCGTCGCAGCGAAGGTAGACAGACTACGTAGCCTAAGGGTGGAGGGAGGAGGAAGGAGAGTCCACCAAAGGACGCCGTGCGGCGAAGGAAGCAGAAGCTGCGAAGATGGCGGACACAGACAACATGGTGTACTTAGGCTCAGCGGACGAGAGCTTGGCATCGACAGCGGCGTGGAAGGCAACCATCGCCGAATTCATCGGCACGCTGTTGTTCATCTTCATTGGGTGCGGCAGTGTGGTTGCTACTGTAGACCTGCTTGCGGGAGGTGCAACGGATATCTCCCAGGCCATGGCAGTCGCCGTAACCCATGGTATAGCTCTGGCTGTGGTCATTGCGAGTACGTCCGTCGTTAGCGGAGGTCACATTAACCCAGCGGTTACCTTCGGCATTGTGCTTTCGGGCAAGTTGTCCATTCTTCGCGGGTTGATGTACTGGGTTGGTCAGCTGTTGGGAGGAGTGGTAGGAGCATTGCTGCTGAAGTGGACTACACCGGTTAAGTATCAAGGCAGCTTGGGCTCTCACGGCCTGGGAGCGGATATCGAATGGTCCTCCGGGCTTATCATTGAAATCATCCTCACCTTCATGCTCGTCTTCACTGTCTTCGGCACGGCAGTCGACAAGAGAGGGCCTGCTGCCATCGCGCCGCTGGCGATTGGTCTGTCAGTGTTGGTGGGAATCGTCGTCGGGTTCCCCTTCACCGGCGGTTCCATGAACCCTGCGAGGAGCTTCGGCCCGGCTTTCGTCTCTGGCACGTGGGGTAATCATTGGGTCTACTGGGTTGGACCATTGATTGGAGGAGCGATTGCTTCTCTGGTTTACACGTGGGTCTTCCTGCCGCCATCTCGGCCAACCACTCGCCGCGTCGGGCAAGACGAGTACGCGCCGGTTGATGCCGCATAGGTAGCTAGCTAGTTGATAGGGAGAGAGTTATGTACTCCTCGTAGTATACATACGTGCGTGCGCCGCACACATTTGCGTCGCACACACACACACACACAGTGTCACACACTGTCACACAGTATTTGTTTGTTGTATCTTGTGTTTGTATTGCACACTAGGTTAAGGGTTAGTCGTGCACGATTCCGGTGGGGGTAATTGGTAGAAGGCGCCCACGGGGAAACCTTTCCGGTTTTGGGCCCCGAAAGTTCAGCTGTGTGGTACTCCCATTCCGGTGTCCTTCGGAAGATGGATGGGGGAACGGTAGCGAATGGCGAGAGCTTTTTTCAAAAATGGACAAGTGTGTGGTATCTTGTGTCGCACAAAATAAAAGAGGGGAGGGTGGGAGGGAGGGAGGGAGGGAGTATTGTATATCTCTCCGAAGGAAAGAATAGTTATCAGGGGCAGGGTCGTGCATAGCTAGGTACTTAGTCAGGGGCAGGGTCGTGCATAGCTGGCTATGGAGTAAGTCTGGGATAAGCTGGATGATGGTGTCAGCATAAGTGACCTAATTACAATTGAGTGCGAATGATGATGCTGTCTGTCCGACTTTGTCGTATTCGTGCAAATCAAGTGATACGCTTTTTCTTCTCGGTTGCCCCCGCGCTACTTGGTCTGTTCTGTCACTCCGCGCGCTCTCGCTCTGTAGTAGTCCATCTTGTCGCACCATACTCGCTCACGTGACTTTTCAGTGTCTTTTGAATTGATAATCCGCACACTACCGTCGTATAGCACCACTTGTTCCTCTCGCTGTTCGTCTCTCTTAATCCCCTGGCGGTCGAGAACATCCTCTATAAAATTTTTTTCCCTTGACTCTCGCTTCATCCATGGTACAAGTGTATTCCTCCATATAGATTCCTCCTTCCCTCGACTCTCGCTTCGTCCATATTTCTCGTCTTTTCCGTAGCCTGTCCTTTTTGTACAGTTTTCCGTTGTCTTTTCTCTGCCGCTGTCTTTAAATTTCCTTGCCTGTTTCTTCTCTTCTTACCATCCATCATTCGAAGGCTTGTTGTACTTCCGGTCTGCTCTGCTGTCCGTGTGTGGAGGTCCCGGCGTTTCTGTTGATGTGGTGGTCCCAGCGTTTCTGTTCATGTGGTGGTCCCGGCGTTTCTGTTGATGTGGTGGTCCCAGCGTTGCTGTTGATGTGGTGGTGCCGGCGTTTCTGTTGGTGTGGTGGTTCCGACGTCTCTGCTGTATTCTACTCTAGCCGTTGGCGATTCCTGTCTGCTCTACTGTCCGTTGCCCATGTGGTGGTCCCGGCGTCTCTGCCAATGTAGTGATCCCGGCGTCTCTACTCAACGTTGCATTTGTTACGTGGCAGTCACGCCGTTTGGACTAGTTTGTTCTTCGGTGTTGCGAATGTGGTGGTCCCGTCGTCTCTGCTCATGTGTTGGTCCCGTCGTCTCTGCGCATGCGGTGATCCCGTCGTCTCTGTTAATGTGGTGGTCCCGGCGTCTGCCTCAACCATGCTGTGGTGATGTGTTCGTCATGTTGTCTTGACTCTGCTGTCTCGGTTATGTGCTAGTCGGGACTTGTTCCAAGTCTTCGGTGTTCCGTGCACGTCGGCTTTAAACGGAAGAGGGGGGACAGGTGCTTGTGACTTCGGGCCTGGTTCCCAGCACGTGATGCTCCCCACGATTGAAGTGGACCTTGTTAAACAAAAGGAAGTTAAACAAAAAAAAAGTCCTTGTATCACTAGGAAAGAGTTGGTACGGTCCTGAGGTCGGGAAGGGGGGCCCGGGAATAGGTCGATGGTCTGCTGCCGTTGATTTGGGCAACACCTGCAGAGCACCCACCTCCCGTCGATGAAAGCGCGCGAAATCCGTGGAATCGTGTGTTCAAGTGTCTATCTTAAGACTGCGTTGCTTGGTTTGATCGAGCTCGGAACATCTAGGAAAGGGGTTAGCGCTGTGTCTTGGTGTTAATGCCTGCAAGTTGGGCATGAAAAATACTTGCCGTTGATTTGGGCAACACCTGCAGAGCACCCACCTTCCGTCGATGAAAGCGCGCGAAATCCGTGGAATCGTGTGTTCAAGTGTTTATCTTAAGACTGCGTTGCATGGTTTGATCGAGCTCGGAACATCTGGGAAAGGGGTTAGCGCTGTGTCTTGGTGTTAATAGTCAAGTTGGGCATGAAAAATACTCCGCGAAGTCAGACAAGAGTCTTGAGTCTTGTAGTAGGTGGGCATGAAAAATACTTCGAAGTCAGACGACTCTGAGTCTTGTAGTTTTATCGTGTAGCGTTCCTTTGGTATGACGGACACAAAGGGGTTGACATTCTTAATTAGTATTTTTTTAGTAATTTTTTGTAATTTTAATTTTAAGTTTTTTAAGGATGATTGGAGTTGCGAGTTGTCTAATGGATGGGGATGGGGAAGGGATGGGATGATGGCAGGTAGGTCCCCCTCAAAGCAGTAGAGCAGTTTGAGGAGGGGAGGGGAGGGGAGGGGGAAGGAGGGAGAGGAAGAGAAAGAGGTTCGTCTCGATTTTGAGAGGGGCTCTCCAATGGGTAATATGGAGCACTTAAAAGCCGTAATACGGAGTATATGACATGTGGTTTGGTACTTTTGTACATTTTATAAATTTACGTACAGATTCAGAATAAACGTGTTAGCGTTTATATTGTGTGTTTACACCGTGAATCGTGTCATAAAATATCCGAAACGGAAGTCTTATGAATCTCTAGAGGGCATAAAAGCAAAGTCTTATGAATGTAGGGGGGGCATTATCATGATGATGGTACTTTTGGCAGCGGTGATAGAAGAAAAACGGATCTTCATTCAAGTTCATCGACGTACACATATAACTTTTGTCTCCTCCGCACTGGCGGTTTGACTGCCAAGTATGCAGGTGTGTGGAGGTGGAGGTCTTTCTGCTGTGGGAAAACGTAGGTTGGTTGTCTTCTTTTATTGATTTTTTTTTTCCCACTTCTTTCTGTTTTTTTTGTGTCTGTTGCCGGATGAAACAGTAAGTGTTGTCGTGGAGATCTTTATCTGCTGTGGGGAAACAGAGGCTGGATGTGTCGATTTTGTTTTGTGTTTTTTTTAGTGGTTTGTGTGAAAATGAACCGCTGTGTTTTTGTGGTTTTGTGTGGAAACGGACTTCGACTTCGCGTAACTAAGTTTGACTGCTAACCATTGACGAAATTGACGCATGTGTTCAGGTGGGAGTCTGGGGATTTATTTTTTTTGCTATGGGGAAACGGAGATTGGATGTTTCCTTTTTATGTTGCGAGTATGTCTCCCTTTCGTGTGTGTGTGTGTCTGTGTCTGTGTGTGTGTGTGTGTGTGTGTGTGTGTGTCTGTTGATGCGGTACGTGTTGTCGTGGAGGTCTTTTATCTGCTCTGAGGAAACGTAGGTTGTGTGTTTGTTTTTATTGTGCTCTTTTTTTTGTGCTATATGTGTGTGTGTCTCTCTGTAGCGTGACGATAACTGCCAAGTGTTGTCTGCTGTTATATAGATGTCTTACATGCCTAACTCCCTGCTTTTTATAATGTCTCGAATGTGACACGTACTTGTCCAACGTGTCGGATTCCCTTCTTTTCGATCGGACGAGCGAGCGCGCGCGCGCGCGCTCACGAGAGAGAGAAAGAGAGAGAATTGTTACTTCCGGAGAGAGAGAGAGAGAGAGAGAGAGAGAGAGAGAGAGAATTGTCACTTCCGGAACTGAAGTGTGGAGGTACGAAGAACGAAGCCCACGAGAATTCAGCGTCGGATGTGTAGGATGATTTTTGTAATTTTATTATTATAATAATAATAATAATAATAATAATAATAATAATAATAATTATTATTATTATTATTATTATTATATTATTATTTTCATTTTTATATTATTATTATTATTATTATTATTATTATTATTGTTATTATTATTATTATTATGATGATGATGATGATGATGATTAGTTTTTAGAAAAGAAGAATGGTGAGTCATTGGTGAGTGTACCTACACTAGCCATTTTTACTTTCGGTGAGTGGTGCAGTGACGCCCACAGTTTCGAGAACGGGAGAGCATGAACGCTGCCAGTTGTGCACTAAATGGGAGACCACCTCACTTCTCTCCTCTCCCCTTTGTTGTCATATATTTTTTTCCTCTGGCCCGCTGCTAGGGTATCCGCCTGGCAGTATCCTCACATCATTACCCTAGAGGTGAACCCCTCTCTCGTGCTTTGTTCTCCTTCACAGGCTCTCGCCAATGAGGGCTACTAGTGCTCTCTTCTCCTTCGCAGGCTGTTCCTAATGAGCGCTTCCTCCATAAGCCCAGGCTCAGGTAAAGTTCTTCTCTGCTTTATTGCGTCGCCTTGTACTTGTGCACACAGTGGACCTGAGACGACGATGTGGCGGTCTCTGACGCTGAAATGAGAGCTGAAAAAAAAAAAAGAAAAAAAAAAAAAGAAAAAAAGAAAAGGAAGTGAGAGCTGATCCATCCGTACAGAGGGTGTAATACACACACTAGAACGTTTTTACTTATGGACGGCATTGCGGTCAGATGCATCGAGGTCTGGGCGGAATTGGAGTCCAATGCGTTTTGAAAAGTGCTACCGCCTTCACCCATCCGTACAGAGGGTGTAATACACACACCAGAACGTTTTTACTTATGGACGTCATTGCGGGCAGATGCATCGAGGTCTGGGCGGAATTGGAGTCAGATGCATTTTGAAAAGTGCTACTGTCTTCACCCGAGTAGAATGCCCGGTCATTGTCGCTGCATCTGGACCGGAAGTTGTGCTACGTGCAGCTTAATTACTGGGCGTTCTATTCGGGTGAAGACGGTAATGTGAGCATGCCCAGAGTCCGTCTTGGCGGGGCTGGTTCTCTCGCTGATCCTGCTTCAGGAGGTCATTACGCCCCCTGCACTCTATTGCGCCACGTGGCCGCCGTGCCAATGCTGCATGACCCTCCGTAAATGACGGAAGGGGGGTCTGAAACCCCGGTAAGGGAAATGATACCCCCTATGTGGCAAAGAAAATCGACCTTCGGGGCAGCCGTTAAAATTGGAACGATACAGAGAATGAAGATCAGCATGGCCCGTGCGTAAGGATGACAGGCATAATTCGAAAATTGGTCGAAATTTAAAAAAAAAATAAAAAAATCCTTGCTTAGCAGGATTGAGAGTCACGTAAAGGGAAAGCGTGATTATTGGGAGAGGAGGCAGTGGATAGAGAAGTTTAACGATGGGTAGGAAGATGGAGGCCACGCCGGCCCAGGTAGTCACAGGGAGATCTCCACCACCAGGCCCTTATGAGGAGAAGGATTATTGGGAGGACGAGGATAGGATCAGGAGCTTACTAGCGCTGCGTTTCGACGATGGAGTCTACCCAAAGGAAATTGATCCTGGAGAGATGATAATCGAAGGAAGGGAGGTCAGGTTCAAATTAAACACATCACTCGACGACATCAAGGGTAAATGGTTAAAAGAGCGGACAGTGACTATAATCTGTAGGGATGCCGTGAGATTTTTGCCAAAGAAAGTCAAAGACGACCTGATTAGAGCTTTGGAAGATGGATGGATAATTGGAAATGAGTTGTTGCCTCAAACCCAGAGGAGAGGGAGAATTAAGATAGAAGGGTCGGGGGTAGCGTCCTATGTGGCGAAGGCAAAGGAGGTGGAAGAGTACATGATAGCAGAGCAAACAATGGAAGTGAACCTAGGGAACGAATCCTACAAAGTTTTATTCAAGCCATGGATGACGCGTGCGGAGTTCAAAGAACTGAGGAAGCAGGAGGAGGATAGGGTTTTCTGGGTGATGGCACTCCAGGTGCCGCTCGACGACATGCCGTTCATATATGCGCAAATCGAGATGGCGATTGGGAAAATCACTCTAGCGCATCCAACAGATGCACAGATCCAATGAGACCGCCGCTAGTCAACGCCCGGTTCGACCTCGTCCCGGAAGCTCGTCCGAATATGAAGGACGCTCTTTGGATTGAGATGTTAAAAGGAGACACTCTCGAGATCAAACTGGCTTCAGCGGACACAGTCAAGTGCAGGACCTGCAGGCAGTTCTTTCACACGGAACAAGAATGCAGGAGAAACGGAGGGCAGAGAATGGGAGGAGCGGGGGTATCGCAGGGGCAGCACGGCAGCCCCCTGCAGCAGCAGCGTCAGTCGCTGAATCCAACAAGGTATCATGGACCACTTGGCCCGAGGAGCGGAACACAAGCCCTGTCAGGAGCAGCAAGTCACGCCGGCCTCATGCGAAGCAACCCGGCCTTCTCGCCGCAAGGCATGCGAGGGGGGAACGAACAACAGGGGCATCTGGGAAATGGTCCTCCAGGTGGCCTAGGAGGGATGGTGCAAGGCCTCGGGCAGACCGGAAGTCAGGGACTCTATGGCACGGTGCCAGGAGGCTTTCGAGCGGGCGGCCTTCTACAGGGACAGACGGGGGGGACTCGCAGGAGTAGCCCCCGTGGGGCTTGGACAGTTCAACAATCAAGGTCAATACGGGATGCCCAACCTTAACGGCGGTCAGTCGTGGACATGGCAAGGAGGGGCGGTATCGGCAGAATGGCTCTTAGCGAACGGCATACATCCGGCCCTCTAGGCAGGCATGCTGAATCTTCAAGGAGCGCCAGCAGGAAGCCACATGGGTGGCAACACGCAGCAACCAGCATCGGCAGCTCTGGGAAGGGGGGGAGGACAGGGGCCGTCGAACGCAGCACAACCCTCGGGGGGAGGAATAAGAGATGGGATTGGTAGTGGACAGCCGGGACCAAGTGCGGATCCAGGAGTCATTGCAAGCAAACCCCGAGGCGTAGGGAAACAGAGAAGGCTGAGTATGACGTCTCAACCAGGAGTCACGCCTGAACCATCGAGAGCCTGAAGATTATCACGGAGCGGATCTGAAAGGTCGGTGAGCCAGGAGGTAGGGATGTTGACGCGCGGTAAAAAAACAACGAGGGACCGAAGACTTGCAGCTACGCGCGATCAGAGCACGGAGCTCGCGCAGTACTTAGTGCCGCTAGTTTGTACGGGATTCAGAAACTCTTTATGGGTAGTGATGTGGCAGAGGAACACAGGCCCGTCACTAATCTTTGGCCAAGTGGTAACGGAGATGCCATCAACAAGGATGTTGAGAGAAGCCTGAGGAACCTGTACGTGGATTCTATCCCAATGAGGATTATCCCGGATGTTGTGATGCCTAGGATACACTTTGGCCCATCAGGCAACAAAGTGAAGCTCTATGTCCCCCTTGTGGATGCCAGGCTGACAGAACAGAATCTGGCGGAGCTCGAACCGCTTGGACTGAGATGAATCCGTTGGCTTTGTTTGCGGAAGCCAAGAAGCAAGAACTGGCAAGACTCATGATCTCTCCGATCATGGTGACGGCGGACGCGCTAGCAGAGCTGAAGATGAGGCTGCCAAAGGAGAAGAAAGTGGATTCCAGCTTCTTGAGACTTCCAGATGTAGACGAGGTGATCATTGGCGGAGACTGGAACACAGTCCTAGACTCCCCGCCAGATCAAAGAGACCAAGGCTGCGCGAAGGATGTACTCGCACTAAGTTGATATGATGCTAGACCTCGACCTGCAGGACGTATACAGGGAACTGCGCCAAGCAGAACCTGGATACACCTCGTTCTCGCACAGAGGGAAAGGAAGGAGGCTAGACTATCTGCTGGTGGGAGGACAATTGAAGAAACAGGTGATTAACGTGGAGGAGGTCATCAACCCGGTATTGGACCATAAACTGGTAATCGGGCACTTCAACTTCGCGAAAGAACACAAGAGAGGCAGAGGTTACTTCAAGCTCAACACGTTGAATTTGCAAAGCGAAGGAATGAACCAATGGACACAGGGGTTTTGGGAATGCTGGCAAAAGCAGAAAGAGCGGTTCGCAACGTTAGCTGAATGGTGGGAAGCAGGCTCAAGGATTATGTCGAAACTGTTGGATGTGTTCTCGTGGATCCTCGCGCTGAACAAAAACAAGGAAGAAAGGAAACTTTGGAAGAGAGTACAGGATGCAGAGGCACCCCATCTCTGAATTGACGTGGGGAAAGGAGCGAACCAGAAGACTAGCTGAGTGGGATGAGAAGCAGCAGGAAAAGTCAGAGTTGTGGGCAGAAAGATTCAAGATCAAGGGGTTGGAGGTGTATGACAGGTTGTCCAGGGAGACCTTCCAGAAGCTGACACCGGCAAGAACCGCTCCGGTATTAAAAGAACTCAGACACCCTTTTGACTCCAGTGAACCAGCGGCAGTGGAACCAGAGGAGTTATGCAGGTATGCAGTGGTGTACTACCAAGACATGCTAACATCAAGAAGGCAGGGGGAAGGCCCAGAAACGGATCTGGCCGCCGACTCTAACCACTGGAATAACACGACTGTGAGGCTGCACACACAGGGTCGCCTAGACCTAGACAGACCAATCACGAAGGTGGAAGCAGAGGAAGCTCTAAAAGCTATGGCGAATGGGAAGACCCCAAGAAATGACGGCCTCCCGACAGAGTTTTACCGGCAACATTGGAATTTGCTAGGGGACGACCTCATAGAGATCTACAACGAGATGCAGATGGGAGGGAAGTTGCCTGAAAGCGCATGCGGAGGGATAATATCTATTCTATTCAAGAAGGGAGACACAAGCGAAATTCGAAATTGGAGACCAATCTCGCTGCTCAACGTATCCTACAAGATCCTGGCGAAGGTAATGGCGCGAAGGTTAGGCAGATATCTATCGGACCTCATGGAAGATGATCAGACAACTTTCGTCAGAGGCCGCTCCATCTACGAAAACATCGTGACGGCGGTGGAAGTGTTAGAGGTAGTGAGTGAGGAGGATCTAGAAGTCAATGTCCTGTTACTAGACATGGAAAAGGCGTATGACCAGGTAAACTGGTCATACGTCCTGACCTCCCTCAAATGGATGGGGTTCGGGGAAGTCTTCTGCAATTGGGTAGTAGGCCTGTATGCATCGTCCTCAGCTTCAATTATGGTAAACGGGCACATCTCAGCGTCGTTCCGGCTGTCACGATCACTGCGTCAGGGGTGCCCCCTGGCGCCTCTGCTGTTCGTGGTTCACCTGGAAGTTCCATTGAACAACATCAGGACCAATGCGCAGATTCTGGGTATAGACGTGGGGCAGCGAGCATGCAAAGTAAAGGCGTTGGCGGATGATATTTTTGCGGTCTCAGCCAACACAGTGGAATCGTTGATGGCACTGCGATACTGCCTGAGACAGAATGAGGAATTGTCAGAGGCAGCGATAAACTGGTTCAAGTATATGTGTTCTTGTTACCTCGAAGGTACTCCCCTGCGGTAGACTGGGGTATGAAGCGAGTACAAAGCGTCGATAGCGACAACTCCAAACGCTTCTTAGGAGTCCAAGTGGCACTCACCTCGTGCGCACTCCGGCAAGAAGAGATCCTCCAGGACAAGGTGCTGCAGAGAATGACCACGTGGGGAAAAGCCCCACACTTGTCCCTGTTCGGCCATGCATTGGTGGTAAATGTAGCTCTTTTTGCCCTCCTCACCTTTGTGGGGAACGTGCGACAGCTAGGAAAGAAGACACAAGTAGTAGTAAGGAGGAAGGCATCAAGGTTTATCTGGAAGCCCTATGCGGAAGAAGGGGAGAAAGTTATGTCTAAGGTTGCCTGGGAACTGATTTGTGTTCCCAGAAGGGAAGGTGGATTGGGCATGATGGACCCAGGCAGGAAAAACCTGGCCATGTTAGCCAGGTGGGTTGTCCGAGCGATCACCACACAGAACGACAAACACTGGATCTTACTGGGAGAACGCATATTGAGCAAGGAATGGCAGTTGGAAAGAAAGTCGGATGTTTGGGCCTGCGTTTGGATCGATTCATACCTCATGAGGAATCTGAAATCTGAGTTTTGGCGGGCGGTTTTGCAAGCATGGAGACGGGTGAAGTCGGATATGCTCAGTGACCCGTGCACAAAGAAGGAAATATTGTTACAAATCATATTTGAGAACCAAAGCATCAGAAAGGACATAGGGAGGATGCTAATGGCTAACTCAGAACCAGGCAGCTTCGGAAAGGTTTGGATAAAGCGGGGGGTGGAAAGACTGAGAGACCTCTGAAATGAATTCACAAGAGATTGGCGCTCAGGCGAGGAGTTGGAGGACATCCTAAGACCGGGAAGATATATCAGACAGAGGAGAAGACTAGTGTTGGAGAGTATCCCAGCAGAGTGGATGCAGATACTTTCTCCGGCAGTGCCGAATCCAGTAGGGACTTGGTACGAAGTGGGAAAGGAACGGGACCCGGAAGTCTCCCGCGTACGAAAGTTAGTAAAATTGGTGGAACTCAGTGAAGAAGGAGGCAGAAAGTTTCAACAATGGCAGTCGGAGAATGCAGAAATAGACCTGAGGATATGCGAGAAAGAGGAACATTGTACTCTGCCAAAGGGTCCCCTGGTAGAGATCAGAGTGAGAGAGACGGTGAGTGAGGAGGGTGACCGGAAGGTGAAGCTTTGGAACGCAGGGGCCCCCTTGGCAACACTCAGAGCAGACCCGGATCAATGGAGGAGTAGAAAGCCACGACGGGAACATGTAATGCTGGATGAATACTCGTTGAATCTAGGCTATGAGGTGCAGGAACCCCCACGCACGCCACTGACGACGGCCAGATCTTCTCTGCATCATCTGATAGCACTCTTGCAGAGAAGATCAGCCAATCACTGCAGAAATGTTGGCAGTAGTTAGCGGAGTCCCCCTTCCCAAGAGCAGCAGCTATTATATGGCTAGCCTCGCTTCTAGCCACACCCTCTGCGGTATGGTTAACAAGCCGAGGAATGGAGGTGGATGTGCAGTGTAAAAGATGCCATTGGGCGTTTGAATCGACGGTGGGATTGTCCAGCTTCACAGAAGATTTGGGTTTGGTGGGCAGAACAGTGGGAAACCTGGACGGGAAACACTCTCAAGTGGGACAAAGAGTGGGTATTGTTGGGGGGACTACCAGAAACAATGGAACTCAGTAAAGATTGGGGATACGTGGCACAGGCCAACCGGGCGATAGGATACTGGGTCATTTGGACGGAAAGGGATAGGACCCTCTTCGAAAGGAAGTCGATGCCAGAACATGAGAAGAGAGCAACGTTCAAGACAATTATAAGAAGGATGATAGCGGCAGACTGGAGGAGGAGAGCACCGAAGGAGAGAAGAGTCCGGACAGACAGGAATTGGTTCCAAGAAACCTGGGGACAGGGTGGGAAACTGGGGTCGGTAGATAGTAAGGGGAAGCTTGTCTTCACCAACTGGCTGGCTACGTAGATATAGGGGGTAGAGCGTAGAGGTTCGGTTATGGAATAAAGTCTGGATGAAAAAGGGAGGAAAACAGAAAAAGAGAGTTGGTATAGTAGGCTAGAAATACTAGGAGCAACCAGGCGCACTCGGTTGGGGTATCCGCAGTAGGAGGCAAGTTGGGCAGGGGGGTTTAAGAGAGTGCCCAGGAAATAGAGGACCCAAGGGTCCACCCAACCGTTTTAAGCAGGGAAAAGGGGAATTACCTCATTAGGGGATAAGAGAGAGCTTTAAGAGTTGTACTACAGAAGAGACATAGTTACAGGTGGTCTGTAGGTTGAATCAGTCGTAGATTTTGAATAGAACGGAAATAAGATGAAAGCTGAGTAAGTTGGGCGGAAGCCCACTGTGAACATTGGGTATATCCCAGATTGATTGTTTTTGCTCTGGGTTGTTTGTGAGGAATTCCTGGCCTTATTGTTTTTATAATAAATTCCTTGTTTTTTCCCCAAAAAAAAAAAAAAAAAAAAAAAGATAATTCATAATGGCTTTTAGTCCACAAGGTCCTTCCGGGCATCCGTTAAAATTGGAACGATACAGAGGAGATTAGCATGAAAAAAAAAAGAAGGGAAAGATGTCACGGTGCTGGTGAGATTTTAGCGGGAAGGAAATGGAGACAACAACAAAAAAGAAAAAAAAAAAGGAGACGACCTCAACCGTAGACTTTGGCGAAAATAGACGGTTGTTTGTTGTAGTCTTGCTCTGACCGTCTGGCGTCACTTGAATATTACGGATATGGATATGGAATGTTCACATGCACATACAATTAATGCACACAATAACGAGTAGTAGAGACTTGAAATAGATTGACATCGAAAAATGAACATCGTGTCCGACCAATCAAATCGTCAAACCCAATGGTCTGCCATCATTCCTGCTATCCTGCCGCCGGACTGGCAAGCGCCGCCAGACTGGCTGACCCGAGAGGTCAAACTAATCGCTACCAATCTATTTATGCTACTCGTAAGGTCACATGTCCGATATGCCTACCTTGTTATGGACTCGCCAGGGCTCGATCCCTGGTCTATCTTTTTGTTGTTTCGCCTGCATCCCGTTTTCAGCCTGGCACCCTTTTTCCAAACCCCTCCTTTGGTACCGTAAGATTTTGGACAACTGGCGCCATGCTGCAATTCGGGCGCCACTTTGAAATGCCGCATTTTTCAGTTCTACCCTCGGGGCCTTTGCAGAAATGCCCCTGGTACCGTACGTGTCACCGGTACTTATACCGGCTCCCCGTACGGTACGGGGACGGGTCTCGTACCAGTTTTCAACTGCTGTACTCGTACTCAATGAGACTTGCTCCTGTTCGGCATTCGGAATCCAAGACTTCGACTTTGTGTCCTTGCCACTGTGTCTGCGTCCGACCCTCAGTCGTGTCGAGTGAGTGAGTGTGTGTGTGTGCTCTCACTCTCTCTCTCTCCCTCTCCTCTCCCTCGGCTCCCCCTGTCTCCCTCGGCCTCGCGCTCGTTACACTGGTGTCGGAGTTCGCTCCCCTGTCGCCGCCGTGACCTTCGAGGCCGCTGTGATCTTCGTCGTCACCGAGACCTTCGTCGCCGTCGTGACCTTGCCGCTGCCGTGACCTTCGTCGTTGCCACGATCTTCGTTGCTGCCTAAGATCTCCATCGTCGTCATACTTAGAAACAAGCCCACTGCGGTCCTACGTCCCTTCCGTATCTCCGGTACCGGCTACCACCCAAACAAGGCCCGTAAAACCGGGGAAGACATTGACCGGTACTTCGGGGGTCCCAAAAAATTGACCAAGGTAAATCACAAACAAATGTCGCGGCCCAGCACCGAGGGTCCCAAAGAGTGACCAAGTTAAGTCACACATAGATATCGGGGTCCAGTACTACCAAAATAGTCTCAGTCCATAGACAAATAAGCACCCGCAGTATAGCAAAACCCTGTCCAGCGAAATCCTAACAAACTCAATAACAAAGTAAAAAATACACCTACAAAAAACAACACGAACAAAGTTTAGTCTAGGATCAAGCTAATACAATAGCTTGATGGTTTGCCTCCAAATGTCATCCCGCCGAACTGCAAAACGGCTGAGTACTTGTTTAATGAATTGGTCTGGGAAATCCTTAAACATCAATCAGTTCCCAACGCAAAGCCCTTACCCTGCAAGGAATCTCCGATCGGATAGAAGTATTTTGATCAATCCGATGGAGATAACCACCAATGATTGCGCTCTTTTGTCGTTTGCACCCCCATGAGTGAAATGATTGCCTGTTTAGGATTCGCAATCGATCAGTCTTCCACAGACAGTCGCCATTTCGCGATATCTGCACACAACCCATGTACGAAAAAATTTGCGAAATACAGATCTGCCAACCAAGAAAGTCCAGCACCCCAGTTCCCTCATCCGTGCATTTGAGTTGCAAATTACTAGGGTAACCTGTTTGGAATACTTCCAATATCATGCGATCGTCCCCATTGCTCGATGAAATTTACCAACATGACGTCATCCACTAACCGAGAGGCAAAAAGATGTCAGGCTGCGCGGCCAATGCCACAAATGAAAACATACTCCGAATAGGCGCACAAAATGCACGCCAAAGGAGGACTAGTGCACCTACCCATTGGAATACCTACCTCCTGCTTCAAAAGAACTTCAGTCGCATTGGAATAGGTATGGTTAAGCTCTAGGGAATAAGTATGGTTAAGCTTGAGGTAAATGAACAAACGAATGTCCTTCATCTACAGTTTCCTCCAATCATCCCCCCCTGTTGTAAGCCCGAACCTCACACCACATCCACGCACATGAATACGTTGCACAATGTCACGTCTCTTCTTAATATGGTACTGTATAATCAAATCCACAGCGTGGCGGATATCCGAGTCCGGGAGTTTGTTAAACATATCCTTAATATCGAAGGAATATGCTGTAACAACTCGATTCGTGCCCAAACGAAGAAAACGCTTATTACCAGATTCCAACAGCTTCGCCAAACCAGATACTGCCTGAAGGTTAAAATGCCAGTGCTTAGGAACAAATTTCAATAGATGATTGAGGGCCTTAGATACAACAC